AGGTGGTTTTAGGTCGTTCCTTGTTTTAGTAAATACCAATAGTACTATTTTAGATCAATGACGCAGTAGAAATTCCTTGCCCGCCCCCATTCAAGCTTACGGCATGAAATACGTTTTTGTCATGAAAATATTCGACTAGAAATAAATATGTTTTGCTAGTCAAACCTAATATCATTTTTCTTGCTAATAAAATAATATAAAACTCGTGCGAGTACTATTTTACATCAATGAYGCAGTATAAATTCCTGGCCTGTCCATTTACAATCTTTTGTTTACGTAACTAATTCGAGTTGTATCAAAAAACAAAAATCGCACTTAAAGTTTCTAATTTAGCTCCAGTTTCTAATTATCTGCTTAGAACTACCAAATTAAGTTTAAAGTAAATTGGATTAAGGCACTCTTACCACGAAAACCACATATGTTCAACCTCTTTCACCTCCTCCGTGTCCCGACCTTACAGATCTCAACATGCATTTTCACCTCGTGTTTCACCAATGTCAATCATGACGAGGTCCACCAATGGCATTCGCAACACTAAATTCCGATCATACCTAACTCAACAAAAACAAATGTACTGTGCCCATAGGCACAGCACAAAAAGGGGACATATATGTATAAATATATATCAACTAATTGTACTGTGCCCATAGGCACAGCACAAAAAGGGGACATATATGTATAAATATATATCAACTAATTGTACTGTGCCCATAGGCACAGCACAAAAAGAAAGGAAGGAAGGAAGGAAATATTTAAGTTTATGAAAAGCCGTTTACCTATTACTTCAAGGGACGTGCAATTGGTCTCATTCCCAAAACCGTTTGAAACGTGACAGCAATACTTTCCTCCTGATTCTTTATCAGTGATGTTGAATGACGTTGCACTGGAATTAGCTATTTTTTTTGTTTGTATCCTTGTGTATCCATGTAACACGAGGTGCTGGATTACCAGAGGCATTACATCTTAATGTTATTGAATCTCCTTGTTTACCATAAAGGTGTGAGGTCAGGTAGTTGATACGAGGCAAAGCTAAAAATAAAAGTACGGAGAAAATAAACATAGGTTTTGCTCATGCTAGTCAAGTGTAATAGCCAAATTCGATATTCTGATAGAGTTGTCAAGCACAAAACATTTCAAGTCGAGGATCCAGGGGAAACAATAATGTAATCGTAATTGTTCTTCTGTTTCGCTGGGAGCGTTGACTCAGATCAGAGTTAATAGAGGGGATCTATTAACTCTGCTCAGATTCAGTTGTTTTGTGCTTGATGATGGCTAAACCAGAATATCGAACGTTGACTATTATAGCGATTGGTAAAGCTGGCGAATATTTGTCATATACAACATGTAAAGAATATGCGCTGCAGCAGTTAAAGGGTTTTTACGTATAATTTAATGTTCCTGATTTAATTCA